GCCGCGTTTAGTTATAGTGCCTTGGAATAATCCTAGATACGAATCATTGTTTTGCCTAATAATAAAAGAAAGAAAACGCATGTAAAAGTAATCCTGAAAATTTCATGTTTGGGTCAAGGTTAATGTGTAGTAGCACTTCTCGCCTTGGTGTCTACACAAAAACACCACCACCAACAACAAGAATTATGTTACTTTAATTGTCACGCGTAATCTAGAAAGCTAATGCAAATAAGAAAAAAAAATAAGAATGGCATCGATGTGTGAATGTTAATGAGGCACACTTCACATTTATCTAACTAAGGTAAAATGCTGACGTTTGTCATGTGTGGGCTTTGGCACAGCTAAAGCGTTGTAACCAAGGCAACCAAATAATATAAAAAACAAACAAATACAGCGGTGTGCAGGAAGCATAAGTGTACCGAAGTGAAAGAGAAATGTATTCTACTGCATTTAGTTGCGTAATCGTTGCTGATTCCATATTCTTAGAAAGAGAGCGTGACGACAATTTGAAAGAACATCAATGTTGAACACATTTGTACTCTTACGCACCCGATAACTGTAATAAAATAAAATTAGCGCCGACAGGTCTATCAGGTGTTTAGTGCCAATCGTTTTCCACCGAGCAAATTTAATATTTTGTATACATCTACATGTGTATTTCCCGAGTAAATTGAATGATTAACATATCAGAGGTGATAGGACTCTCTTGTCCAAAATGGGGAATGAAAGGTGTATTTAGAATTGAATTGCGTTTCACACTCAAAGACTGTTATTGCCTCGGATTATAAATTGAAGCTAATTTTTGTTTGTACCTTTTCTATCTAATTTGAACATTGCAATGTTTTGCTGCTAAAACATTTCCATGTTTTGGCAGCAAGCATACAGGCGCAATCAGTATCTCATTATTGTCTATATTAAAGCGATGAATCACCAACCTGACTTAACTGACTTAAAAGCAGCTTTGTGAATAATTTATAAAATGAGAGTTACTTTAAATACAAACACAAAACGCAAGCGAATAAAAACAGAAGGGCAGAAAGCGGACATAGATATTTCAGACCAAATGTTATCGGAATTGGGAAGGGCTGTCAATTTGTAATCGACATTATTAAATGTCATTGCCCTTTTTTTTCGATTTTATTTTTTGTTTTTGCGCCATTTATTTTTTTTTTTTGACAGAATTTCATCGAGATCATGAAGAAAAAACGCCGCTCAATAAACACAAGTCACTGATTAAATAATAATGACAATATATACTTAAGTTGTTACAAAATTGCCTTTTCATTCGATGTTGGTTATATTTTTTGGGAATTTTAGGTTCATGTTCAACTATATTTGATGGAAAAGAGAACACACAATGTGTTTTAACTTTCTTTACCTGCCCGTTTTTCATTGAAAAAAAAATATTGTACTTAATTTTTTTGAACTGGAAGAACAAACCTTCCACAAAACACTGAAGACGGAAGATGTTAAAAACGCAAAACAAAAACAGCAATATTTGTTGCTTCCCTGCCCTTTTATAAAGTTGTCTGGATTTTTGTTTTGTCAAAATGACTTGCCTTTTTTGTACTACGTGCATGTTTCATTTTCTTTCCTTTTGTCATTTATTCATGACATAAAACGTAGAATAAGCAAAGGTTTTTTTATTTGTTTTTAGGCGCCCCTTGGTGTAAAACACCACACCCACCTCGTGAACCTCTACTACAGCGTTCCACCATCATGAGTACCAAGGGGACAATCACGCGGCCATCGATCATCCAAGGGCCCACCCAAATGTAACGAAGACAGAACGACCGCGAATTCATCGCATCTTCCACATCGCATAAAATATATACAGTGCAGTCCACTTATAACGATATTGAGAAAACCGCAAAATCCAATCGTTATAGCCGATTATCGTTATATCTGGATCAAATCAAATCTAAAAAAATAGCGATCAAATCTAAAAAATTTGATCGCTATAAGCGATATATCGTTATATCTGGTATCGTTATAAGTGGATTACACTGTATATATATAAACATCAAATAAACAAGCAGGTGCGGGCGAAAATTTCTAAGGCGAAACTAGCACAGCATCAACACTTTCAGCTCACAAAGCTCGGAAGCACGGCAGATTAAAGAGATTGAAAACGAGTGAGCAGGGAGGAAACAGATAGCGAACTGGGGAGAGGCAGTGCCTGAAACGAACAGAAAAACAGCGACAAAAAAGGTCAGAAGACATACATAGAAAGAAAGAGAGGCACGCGGTGAGTTGTACGTACTACGAACCACAGAAGTAAAAAGGAACTGAAAACGAACAACGGGCAAACACGTGAGTTCAGAGAGAGAGAGACTGTTTTGGCGTCTTCGAACCTTGAAGTGATTCCTCGCTGTGCTCCGTTCGCCCCAAAGCCGACGGTGCGGTGGGAGCTGAGCTCTCGCCTACCCAATCAACCGACTCCCTCTCATCGCGTCACCCCCCCTTTCTGCGCATGGGCATGGTCAGAGCGTGATCACGTGGCGGAGGATAGGCGTTCGATTGGTTCAACGAGCACGTAGCCTCCACCGCACTGTCAGCTCAGGGGTGAACGGTAGTCTAGCAGTTCCGACCTCGGGAAGAGTTCGCGTCTCTCGAACCCTCGCGGGTGTCGTCTTGGCCGGAGGCGGTGCCGTCTGTGACTTCGAAGACGTCGAAATTAGTGGGATCCTCTTAATGAGAAGCATCATCCTCCGTCGAAGGGACACACCCCCTCCCAGCCTTCTTGCTGCTCCCGCGCGCGGGCGCGACACCCGCCCCGTTATATAAGCGGGATGGGACGTCCGGTCCCGCTACGCCGTTGTGCCCACTCGCTTCCGCGGTTCCGACGACGGGACAGCCGCGACGAGCGGACGCGTCACCAGCGGGAATCATGAAGGTGAGCTTTTCGGCCTTTGCAACTGCCGCGGTGTCGGTACCGATGGTTTGGCCAGAGGTCGCCCCACGAGCGGATAATTGTTGGCCAATACTTTTCTTCTTTTTTTTGTATATATATATATATTACGGCGATAAAGTACGCGCGTCTTAGTCAGCATAAGGGCAAGTTTTACGCTCTGCCGCACTTTGTCTGTGCGGGTAAGCGTCGAACAGCCAGCTTTAGGTCATATTGGTGCCAGATATGAGCATATCTCATCACAATTTGGGATTTTAGTTTCTACCTTTTTTTACGCGTGAGAAAAAAAAAATCAGATTTCGTGTTCGTGGTAATAAAGTAACGCTGTGTAGAGTTCATATTTATTCTTTGTTAAAACAAACGAAAATATTGGCTTCATATTATATTATAATTGGTTAAGACTGCAGAATTTGTCACGCTCGAGTGCCTCGGAATTAGATTAGTTCGAACAGTGTTCTTGTACCTTTTTCTAAAAAAATAAATAATTATTGTGGCCTAATCGGCGCTTGGCACGTCGTGCGGCTTATTAAGTTGTCAATGATTATACAGTACAATAGCGTTACGCACTAGTTACAATACAAGGCTGCTCTGCCAGTTTTTCCAGGGCATTCGGGACGGCATGACAGAAAAGCAGTGGGCAATTTGTTAATTCTTTGCTGAAAGGAAATACAATTAGTAGCTTTAAAGACACATATCGCATGTTGCCTTGTTTTGTGGAACGAATTTCTGTCGCTCTTGTAGTGCGAGAATAGAAACAATAATGAAAAAAATAGGCGGGTCACAAAACTTTTACGATTTCTATGCCGTCTCGACATTTTTTTTCATGCCGCCATTTTAATTACCGCTAGGATTCCTCTTATGTTTAGTAATAATTGTTCTTTAAGAGCGGGTAATATTTAATGCAGATAAAATAAATGAGCGAAAACAAAGCTCGACATACGCAAATATTTTTATTTATTACTTTGTTTTTGTCGTATTCTTGGAGATGTGTTTTTTTTCCTCCTCCTGTTTTTGTTTCTTCAAAACGTTTATACGATGTGAGTAGACGTAAATATCGTAAGGGTGCAGGCGAGCTGGTGAATATTATCCATGCTGAATTAACCTCAGACTGGGGTGGAGAGAAAACATCCTCTCTATCCCAGTCTCAGGTTAATTCAACATGGGTAAGTAGACGTCCTTGCCTAGGCAGGGTAGCGCTGTAGTCAGCCCTAAGCTAGCATACTAATTAATTAACAACCACGACAGTAAAAATTGCATAAAAATACTTGCACAACAAACGCAGGGAACATCTTAAAACTCGCGTGACTGCTTGTCAGAAAATGTTTATGCAGTATGCATAAACACTACATAGCTTCAAAAACAAAAGCCATAGCAGTAAGACGGACAAAGACATTCTCTTATTCATTACTTTAAAAAATAATATTTTCTTAGATCCTTTGTTATCTCGAGGCGCTGTGAGTAAAAACAATGCATGAATTTAGCATAATAAAAGGCTATATCGCAGGTGCAGCAAAGGTACAAAACAAAATGCAACATCACAGCTAGCGACAAGCACTAAAAGTTAGGGATAGGGCGCAAGGTCCCCCAAAGCTCTCTTCTTAATATTTCGAGTTGAAGTGTTTTTTGTTTTGTTTTTAACATATATCAGTATAATTTTATATACAATCTCAATCGGCCAAAAGCTAATGTGTTTTTTGTATACAAAGATATTGTGTGGGTTCGAAATTCCACTAAATGAAATCAACCATCAAAGTTCCCTTTGGAAAATCACTTCGGTTCGTTGCGTCATGGCTTTGATTTTGAGGCTGTGTTTACATCCCTATGACTCTTTTGAGACACTGGAAGCCCTACACAACTATAGACAAGAAAATAAGACGCGCCAAAACAGCACGCGCCAAGAGAGCATATGATCAGATTTACTCAAAGCGAAGTTTGAGTAAACTTCAATGAGTATGAATAAAATATATACCGCCTAAACTTCAGCGGACAAAAAAAAAGATCTCCAAACGTTTTGTGAATTCTCGCACACTGAGCTTCCTTTGCTCAGTTACAGTAATTAGTAGTCATTGATTTCTCATTCAGAACCCGAATGAATTTTTTAAGGTTAATAATACGGTTTTTATGTACTAATAAACTATCACACGTTCAGAGGACGCTACTACTGTGGCTGGTTGCAGCTGCCAGCGCTGAGTTTGTTCATGGTCCTGGTGGTTCAGGAAACGTCCAATTTCGATCGCAAGGGGTGAGTATCATTTTAACCGATTTATTTCACGCTGTACTGGTTACGCTGTACTGGTTACGCTCCGGGCACTCGCAACTTTGTTGTCTTGTAAATGTATCTTGAAAGTTTCAAATTAGGTCTAATGAAGTGTATTATTACCTTAAAAATGTCTGGAATCTAAATTTATGTTGTCAGCCATCAAACAATAAAAATGCCCACCAGTGAATAAGCCAAACACCTGTTCAACAAATGGGAAGCACTAAATATATCACCGATCGAATGCACACCCGCATATCTCAAGATATAATCAGTCAGCATCAACTCGTGTACCACATGGGGCGGGTTTCTCCGCTAGGGTTTGTAAGAACGCAAGAGGCAGCAATGTTGGCATGCCAGGAGAGTGATTATTGTCACGACATGTTGTAAAAGTAACTCTTCTACAAACCAATTTCCAATTCTAACTCAAGCGAAGTGTTTGGATACAACCCAAAAGAACAATATATAGCGTCTTTCCATTGCTTGCTCGAGCCCATAATGTAGTCTTTCTATTCTTTGACGTAAGAACAGAGTAAGTCAACACTCATTATGCATGTCGTGCTCCACACATAAAAAAAATAATGTGAGCCGACGCCTAAAAACAAGCCAAGAACCTTTCCTCCAACGAAAACCACACCCTCTTGAACACAGTTGTTGAATGGTAATCATGTTCTAACGTCTTCCTTTTTTCTTTCCGAACGACGACACCTGGAAGCCCGAGGGCTACAACTTCGGTTACAGGCATTCCCACGGCGCCGGGGGAGGTGCCTCCTGGCAGAAGGAAACCGCTGACTCATCGGGGAACGTAGTTGGCTCCTACGGGCTAAGGAACGTGGACGGAAGGTTCAGGGTCGTCAACTACGTCGCCGGCGACGCCGGGTTCAGGGCCGACGTTCAGTCGAACGAGCCCGGTTTGCAGGGTCCTGTAAGCGTTCCTCCGCAATGGACTCAACCTCAACCAGCTGGAGTAGGACAAGGACTTCCTGGCGTGGGACCCTGGGTTTCGCCTCAACCTGCATTCGGCCCGCAGACGGTAAGACAGATAAAAAGCGAAAGAGATAGGGTCACTGATAAGCTTAAAACACGCAGGGTGTGGCGAGTCCCCTTCATCTTAGTATCTTTTCTCAGCCAATGGGACTGCAGCATTAGCCATCAAGGACATCGTACAACCAATCACGAAGCAGGAAGCGTGAAGCTATTGAGCCACGCAGCGCGTTTCTTCAGTTCTTGTCGGCGACGATACCGCACAGGACGTCAAGATGCACCCGGGAATGAGCCGTCTTAAAAGACACCCAGGGGCACGAAATGTCAAGTAATTTTGAACCTCGAAAAAATTGAGATTTTTTCGAAACTTTGTAAACAGAATATTAGAAAAAAAAATTGCGCGTCAAGGACGACGTTCTATTTGAGTGTTACGTTGTGTCTCTCGAATGAGCTGGCTAAATTGGGTAGCTATAGACCTTCATGAAAATCGCTTTCTGCGTGCTGCCATCTTTGTCTGCTGGGCTGTGGAACGCCTTCTGAGCGCGCGCTGTGGGTCCGCTGTTTAAGTTTAAATGTCAAATATAGTGCCAGGCAATCATTTATTTTGGTGTCACGTTGCGTAGGCCTACTGAGCTACTAATTCAAGCAGTTCAAAATCAGAAACTTGACTTAAAAAACGCACGAACAAAATAATGTAAACATAACCATCAAATACTATGTTTGTATGTTTTAAGTATAATCTTTTGTCGGCTTACTCAGTCGCTAAATGAAGTGGTTCAGTGAGAGAGAGAGAGAGAAACTTTATTTTAACCGAAGAGTTGGAAGAGGGAAGAGTGGACAGAATCATTATGATATACGGTGAGCAAAAACCAAGGTCAGAAACAAAGGAGGTACACAACACCCAAGAGCTGATCTGTTCTTGTTTTTTATGTGCGCAATTTTTCACCGCGTTGAAGTTGAACGAGTCATCTAGCTGTCATCATTACTAGATCATGAACTTTTAAGAAAGGCTTAGATGAAACCATTGTAAAATAAAGGCTCAGAAAGCTATATATCATGCAGCAAAAATTACGATGAATACATTTAAGTTGTGGCAGAGGTAGACACTTAGCCTTGAAAGTTTGGTGAACCTGATTGCTTCAACTTCGCCGTAAGCTGGGTGCAAGACTGTTTCGAGTTAAGATTGATTTCTGATTCTCACCGACGTCGTCTCGAGATATCGGGAAGTTCCAGTTGAGTCACATCTATGAATTCAGGGACTATACATTCTTTCCTCCTTTACCGTTATCTCAAGTTTAAGTGTTCGAAAGCCACATCGACCTCTTTCTTCTAACAAACGCGGCGTCATTAATAGTACTGTTTTTAAACACCACCTAATACGAAAGTATGCGTGCTGAGGGAAAGACATTGTTTTATATAGTTTTATAGTTTTTTTACTTATTTTTATATTATACATTTATATTGCTTTATTGTTTTATACTTATTGTTTTTATATTAGATATTTATACTGTTTGATTATTTATACTCATTGTTTCAGCACGCAAATCCGTTATTCCCTCCTTATCAGTATCTGCGGCACAGAATAAGAGTTTTTAAAACTCGTCGTGATCAAATTTTGTGAATCATTATTCGAAATAGTTTATGAGTGGTCAATCAATTCCTCTGTTAGACTCCCAGCTGGATAATGCACACTTCTCACAAAAATCAGAAAAACCAAACAAAACATTTTTTTAAGGGTTTATATCCTAACGCAATGTTTCGTACTATAAAAACAAATGGTGCGAAGGTGCTCTGCATTTTTGTAAGGTCAAGGCTAATTTTTTTTTAACACCAATTTTGAAATTGATAATTCGAGGCTGGAAGACAACGTAATTTATGTCCTGAAACTTCCACATATTCACTTTCCCATTTTCCTTGTTGTTCTCTGTAGACAGGAGGAAATCCATACAGTTTCTCCTATGACGGTACCATTACCGGTGGTTCCTTCCACTCGGAAACCGGCGATGCGTCCGGTGTCAAGAGGGGCTCCTACGGTCTACCGGGCCGCACCGTCAACTACGTTGCCGACGCCGGTGGCTTCAGGGCGACTGTGACAAGCAACGAAGCTGGAGTGGACACTGCGCAGAGTCCGGCTGACGTGACCGTGTCTTCTGGATCGGGGGCACCCGGTCCTCCTCCGGGCGATACCCCTCCGATCTACCCGGGTCGCTACTTAAGCGAAGCTTCTGACTCTCGAGGGGCCGGTGGATTACCCGTTGGTCGTGGTGCAACGGGTCACGGGTCTCAAGACGTAAGTCTTTGACCAGGAAACGAAACGTTGTAAAGCTTATCTTTATAGCGCAAAATATTTAGATTACGAACGTTTTTTTTAAATGAGCATTTATTCGATGAGCTCTTGGCGCTTTCATGTCCGTAACTAGGACATCCCTGCAGCGTGGAGCTTGCTTTGGCCGATTGAACGCTCCACTTGCAATTGGCAACTGCTTTTGGAGCTATCGCTTTCTTCAGGGTGCGCCTCAGCTGTAGCAAAGCGAACTGCGCGTATTATGAAAGCTCTTGCTTGATGATTTTGTGTCGGGATTTGTTGCGTCCGACATGGTGGGCGCAGCAAGGTAAAATGCCAAGAGCAAGGTACGAGGATGTAAGACGAGAACGCCGGGCCCCGCAGCGACAGAACGGCAGTCCTGATTACACGGCTGCCTACCGGCAGGTCAAGTGCCAGTTCACGAACAATCCGTCCGGTGCGGTGTTTAATGCGTTCGACTGACAGATTTTCGGGTGGAAATGAGCCAAGGCGTTCTAAATGTACTGCAGTTTGAATGCATTTTGGGAAATGCCAAAAAGGTAGGCAATGTTTCTTCTGAAGCTGGATTTATCTAAGAAAAAGGGCCGTCTAAAATGTTACCCGGAATAATCGTGAAAAAATGTTAGTCGTTCCACTAGGGGACCTTGTCGTTGGGCATAAAGTAGTTTCGAAATAATATGTGGATGGGGTAAAGTGTTTCCTGAAATTGTTTTTCTTCGACATCTTATTCTGCGACACATTTCACCTCGGTATAGGGCACGGAATAATATTATTTTCAACAATGAACTATGAAATAAAGTACGGTAAACTGACTTGAGCTGACCACTTTAAGTTTGAATGCGTGCTGATGTCGTATGAGCGTTTCCATGCTCCATTAACAATTTTTGCTTTGAGAAGCTATCATACATTAATAAAAGTTGCAGTTGGTCACATGCTTAACTTTAAAATAAAGACTGTTTGACTAAAAAAACTGCGGTTAAAAAAGCTAGAAAAAAAGGTACAGACGATTTTGAAGATGCAGCAGGGCTTGCCAAATTGTCATTGAACGCACAATATTTTTATATCTAAACTAGCCTTTATATAAAGAAAAGAAGAGAGTGATTAATTCTGTACATCTGATTGTCCCTTCGCGTCTATTGTCATTACAGCGTTACGCAAGAAGAACGTCAAAGAACGGAGCTCAAAGCAAGAAATGGGAACATGATTAGTCATGCCCTTCGCTGAGCTGTCCATAACTATGGGCATTATTGAAGCTAATTCTAAAACCCGAAATCAATCAAACAACTTACCCTAGCTAGTGATAAAAAAAAAAGAAGAAACTCTAACCGATTTTAAATAAATATTGATCCCGTCATTCAGAGTTGGCGACGTGTTTCAGGTCCGACAGAGCCAGGTAAAATCCTATCTTCCACCTCTCCTTTTACTTCCAGGCCTGGAAACCATACGACTTTGCATACGGTGAAAGCCTGGGACCTTCCCAGAGGGAATCCGGCGATGCCGCCGGTAACAAGAAAGGCGTGTACGGCCTGAAGGACCCCGATGGCAGGTTTCGCACAGTCAACTACGTCGCCGACGCTGGCGGCTTTCGAGCCAGCGTCCAGACGAACGAACCCGGCGTGGATGACGCCCAGAGTCCCGCCGACGTGGCCGTCAACAAACAATCTCCGCCGGCCGGCGGCGTGGCGCCGTATCCTTCTTCGGGTGCTGTACATGCAGGATTCCCCGGGAGTGCGGCTGTGATAGTACCTGCGAACCCTGCTTCAAACTTTCCCGGCGGAGCCGCATTGGTCCCGTTGGGATCTCCGCAAGCTGGCTTTCCCGGCGGTGTGCCGCTGGTGCCATCTGGATCGCCTCACGCGGGAATCCCTGGGGTGTCTTCGGTCCCGTGGAGTGGAGCAGGTGGCGCTGCGGTGCCCGGTGGGCCGGCCGGGACCGGGTTTGGTACGCAGGATGTGAGTGGTGGCTAAACGCCGGTTCACCCATTTGGGTTCGACTATGCAGAGCGCGTTGAAGATCTGTTGTATACGCTCAACACACAGGCGCCATCGATTGGGCAGCCCTGGAACACTTACAACCTGCGCATTACTTGACTGGTGGTTTTGCAGTGTTGGTGAGATCAAATTTACGCATTACTAATGAGAAATAGTCGCTTATAACGTTGTAAGAATCGTTTGAAATCCACGGAGATAACAGATATATATATATATATATATATATGCAGACGCAGGTCAAGTGTTTCAAGGCTTTCCGATAGATGGCGTCTGTGTGCCAATGTGTTAAGCGGTCAAGAGGGATTGTTTCACGCTAAAAAAACGTCAGTTTTGGTTGCGTTACATGCCAAAACAACGAGGGGAATCTGGCACGCCCCAGCGGAGGACTGAGGATTAATTATGACCACAAGGGGATTTTTGGATGTGCTACCGAAATCTCGGTTACACGGCGCCCTCTCAACTGTAAGCCTCCGTCAGATTGCGGACACTTCGGCCGGGATTGGGACCCGCCACCTGGGGATACGCAGGCCGGCGTTTTGCCTAGGAGCTACCGAGGAATCTATCCCAAAACACTTGGCACAGTCTAAAACAACTATATGGAACAGCCTTAACGTTTCTACTTTGTTACTTAGTATTAAATTGCTGAAAATCCACTAAGACTGTAAAAAGTTGTTCCTTAATTTTTGTTGGACAGCACTAGGAAAAAATATGTTGTCTTGATCTCAGTAGTACAATAGGCGGCAGTCTTTTCATTACATTCCTTTTTGTGCCACACGATCGCTTTCAGACAATCCCTGTTACTCTAATCTAAAAGCAATACAGATTCGTTGTGGAAAAAAAAGGTCAATATGCAGGCGAGCTGGTGCGTTTTGATCAAGATGTCTAAACCCTGGGACTGGAAAGGAGATGGGAATATATATTAAAGGAGACAGAAGAAAGGTGACCGACAAACACCTATAACTCGGCTAGATAAATTCATTTTATACAACGCTTTTAAACCATTCTCAAAAAATCGTTCACAAAAAAAAAAGACTTTGTCTTAAAGGTGTCTTTTTTGGCCTTCGTCTATATCTTGAAGTTTCCTTTCCACACTCAGGGTTTAAACGTTATTGACACGTTGACCGCTTTATCTGGTGAAGACCTTTATAGCAGCAAGTTAGATATTCTTGTACATACTACTCTCACCTTCCGACTACAAGCATCTATCTGTTTCCGGGTCCCGAAACCATATACCTAGCGTTCCGAGACTAAAATTTAGTATACTTTGCTCTGTTGATTTTGTTGAGGTCTGGAAAAACAATTTTTTGCTTTCGCATTTACTAATTTTGCTCAAGGATAATATTACACCTGGTAGTTTTACACAACCTTATGACCTTGTGTGAGATGTTGTTAGTTCGAAGCCTTTGTTCAATCGCGATACATTGAAATACGAACGGAGCGCGTGGCTTTTTGTACACGCTGCGCAGCTTGGCGACGGCCTAGGGAAGGTTCCACATGCGCAGTAAGGCCAGAGAAACAAGTATTCGCGTCCAACTGTGATATGCCGCGAGCATCGCTCAGTGTACAAGCGCATTGGCTCGGCGCTTCAGATCGTTGTCATGGCGCGCCGCGGCGCCGCCACAAAGCGTGTGTGTAGGCGTTGTAGAAGGACATTAGGTGGGGAAAGTGAGGGCCAATAGTATAGGCGCACGGGGCGCATTTGTCACTGGCTTTCCTCAACGTTGCCGCAGCGACAACCTCCGCTCGCCTACGTACCACGCAACCGCGAAGATAAGTGCTAAGAATAGATAAGAAGCAGCAGTCGACTTCATCGCGACCGGGCCCCTAGCGCAACGACGCGCCAAGTCAAGCGCTTACACACCGAGCGATGGTCCAAAGTCACCACGTCAAGGCATATCATAGTTGGAAGCGAATCCTCGTATCTCTCGCCTTAGTGAGCGTGAACAACCTACCCTAGCCCGTCGCCAGGCTGCGCAGCATGTACAGGAAGCCACATGCTTTGTTTTTCGTATTCGTATTTCAATGTATCGCGACACAATATTGATGAAGATGCTTGTGCAACTAAGTAACAGTTGAGTCATTCTGTTCTCATCTGACCGCGTTTGAAAATCAAGCCGCAGTACGCGTCTGTGCTCCGTACTCATATGAATACAATGGAAGATAGTTAACTTGTATTGTTCTATATTTAGAATACACGAAAGTGTAACAAGAAACTACATAAATGAAAATAAAAGAATCGTTATTAGGCGACGTGAACAAACAGGATCAATTACCTAGGCCCTCTCATTCACACGTTCATGTCAACTGGGCGGATACGCAGTTGAGCCTGATACAACGGATATTAGCAGGGCAATTGCTTATAAGTAAATAAGTATGCACAATGCGTAGGTCAATCAATTAATTTCAAGCTTGTTGTTCGCGATTCCGCTTGTCCCCGAGCCTTATTCACCTTAAAATGGGAAGTGCCTTTTGTGTCGTTCATGCATTGCACGTATGAACCTTTTAAAACCTCATACTCTTTTACTACCGGAGACGTGGTTCTCAACCATCTGCAGTTGGTAACTAACCAAAGGTGAGGAGTGGGCATTGGGAATATTAGTGGAGACCAGAATGTCAGAGGAACGATTTCGATAGAAAAAAAGCAGGTTGATAAACGTCTTCGCCATTTTTTTACATCAATTCTTCTAGTTCTAAGGTGTTTTAACATGGCAGCTGGTGTTTTTCTAGTGTTTTATATAAAAATAAACCGTTCCGGATCAGGAATAAGTCATTTTAACGTGAAACGTTCTTTGGCTAGTTGCTCCAAATTTCGTGAAACCGTGGCCTGTGACGATCCGCTAGATTTAGCGGGAAAATTGACGTCATGAGACCTCACCACCAATCTAGTTTCCCCGCTAAATCTAGCGCGAAGAATGAGGTCAGATGACTTCGTGTCACGCGACCTACGCACATATTCAGTTTCCCTGTAGATTTAGCGGGGAAAATGGTGCCACACGACTTCATATTACGTGAATTATACTAAAGTTCAGTTTCCCCGCTAAATTTAGCAGAAACATTTACGTCACCTGACATGATGTCAACTGAACTACACTCAAATTCAAAGTCGCTGCTAAATTTAGCGGGGACAGTGACCACAACGCCAGTTCAGTTTCCCTGCTAAATTTAGCGGGGAAAATTGTGTCACATGACTTCGTGCCACACGAACTATACAAAAAATTAAGTTTTCCCGCTCGATTTTACGGGAACGTAGACTTAACGGAACGTCAACCCCAACCCAGTTTCCCCAGTAACTTTAGCAGGGAAAATAATGTCACATGACGTCATGTCATGATACTTATGCTCAAATTCAGTTTCCCCGCTAGAGTTAGCGCGAGAATTGACGTCACGTAACCTACACCTAGATTCAGTCTACCCGCTAAATTTAGCGGGAAAATTGACACGTGACCGGCCGCAGCCCATCATTTCTCATACTACGTAAACACAGGCTCAGAATATCGCTAAACGTTTCTGCCGCAAACACGTTTCACGTATCTAACACAATTCCCTAGCAATTTCACATACGATTGTTGCATTATGCTTTACTCTTGGTAGTCCACGAGTCTACATTTCTGAGTGATGTGCAATGTGACATTACCATAAAAAAAATACATTTTTGACCAGATATCTACTGCGCTTTTGACATACGACCATATACCGCCATTGGTACTGCTGTGTGTGCAAGCGTGTATGCGAGCCGATAGGATTCGCGCAAGTAGATTCGCATTGATGTGCGAGAGCGTTCAACTGGCTGCGTATGCTAATTCACGTACACTGTCATTATTGTTTGCTGTCTGCAAGCTGTCATTGTATTCGGCTATTTTTAATGTCGCACGTAGAGTTCTGCAAACGACACAATCATGCCAAACAATGCAAACTGAAATATGAAGAGATATGTTATTTGGTGACAAAAGAATCGATGCTATTTAAATGCAACTTTTACTTTATGTAGCTGGTCTAAAATTTGGGAACATTACAGAGTTAAGTTTTCTTCCGTTGAATACGCTATTTCATAAGTACATACCAATATTTCACAATTTTGAAAGAAAAAAGAAATTCATCACTTTCCCACGCTTGTTTGTTTTTCAGGCTACTGGAGCCTATAACTTCGCTTACGGCGATGATCAAGGGATAGGACCGTGGCAGAAAGAATCGGGAGATGCTTCCGGTAACAAGGCAGGCACCTACGGCTTGAAAGACAGCGACGGTCGTTTTCGTACCGTGAATTATGCGGCTGGCCCGGGTGGTTTCACAGCGGGCGTCCACACCAACGAGCCTGGCGTTGACGGTGCTCAGAGCCCAGCAGACGTGAGCGTGAGCAAGAGTCCTGAGCCAGCAGGTCTTGCGCAAGGGGTCTTACCGGGACAACCTGGGCTTCTTGGAGCTCCTGTGCTTGTACCCACGTCCCCTGAGTACCCCGGGGCAGGAGTCCCGGTTTCGACTGGATATGGAACGTTCGATGTGAGTTGTAACTTTGCAAGAAATAGGTGACGGCTTCATTATTGGAGAGGCATGCGAGGAAGGATGCTGTAAAATTGAACGCAGTGTAACTGTCAATATTTTCCCCTCAACATTGTGATATATACATATGAAAAAAAACGTGTTCTTGTCTTTACAGTTGTATAACCTGACTGCAGCTTAACTTCGTTCACACTTAAGTTCAATAGAAGAAATTTCTACTTATGCCGAGCTACCACCGTATGAGTCCTTTTACGTACAGAGAGGTATCAGTTTGCGCTCAAAGTTCTTGGCGCAGTCGGTTCACAAACTGTGATCGTAAAAGAACGCAACAGACTGAAGCCAAATATAACCCATGTTCTCATAAATTTACTCTGCCGGAAATGATTTTTTTTTTGGACGGGGAGTTATAAATATACTAGAATCCATAGAACCCCAGTAACAGGAATAATTCAATTTTTGACCCTAGTGTCCATGCAGAGGCAGGGCATATGTTAGGTGGAAAATATCACATAACATGTATTCTGTCTAAAATATTGGCCAGTTCACGCGGTCCTGTCTTTGCCGTGTAATAAATGAATAAAGTATTGAGCTTCCACACAGAAACAATTCTGTACATTGGCTAAAGGAGGTTCTCTTCCTTAGATGAACAACTTTCGTATGATGCTTTGAGATAAATATGATGGGATACGTTTTGTGAATACGCTCATATCCTTAGCCATTAGTCCACAACTTATATTTAAAAATTGGAAGCAGTAATTATTTTAAATATGTCTTGAACTCTTTTTTAAAAATCTTTCTAGAAGCATTTACAGCACGACTGACATGCACGACGTTTTGCGAATGCTTAATTTTATATTTAATTTAAAAATGTATGAATATATGGTTTTCTTGTGACTCATGCTTTGAACCAACTCTTGCATTCAGAAATAGCTATAAAGAACGACTTATTCAGAACTAACTGTTAGGTTTCATCTATTTTGGTATGGACACGGTCTCCAAAGTTTGTCAGCTCTATTTGTATCAATGCACAATCAAATATATTGCGGAGAACAAATAGTTTATTTGACATTTTAACATTTATATACGTACGCTGGGAGTCGGTTCTTATATTATATTATTAATCTATACAGGCTCCTTCTGGGTCGTACAATTTCGGCTACGCTGGAACCGCCGGCGGAGGTTTCCACACGGAATCAGGCGACTCCAACGGTTTCAAGAAGGGAACGTACGGCCTCAATGGTTCAGATGGGCAAATTCGAACTGTTCACTACGTCGCAGACGCTGGAGGATTTAGAGCAAATGTGCAATCCAACGAACCGGGTGTGGATTCTTCCAAGAACCCTGCTGACGTCAACTTTGGTCACCCCGGTGGTGCGATTTCTGGTGTGTCGTTAGGACCCCCTTCCACCGGGCCTGCCCTTGCACCGTGGGCTCCTGCTCGGTCAGTTCCGTGGAACCAGGTTCCTAATTCAGTTCTAGGTTCTCCTGCGGTTCCTGCTGTCACTCCACCGCAAGGGCCATGGACGGCACACTCTTCCGGACCCTGGTCTCCACCCTCGAATCCAAGACCCGGAAGTTTCTTTTACAAGACACAAGTTCTAGGACCTCAGCAGAGCTTTGTCAAAGTGCATCAATATTAAAAAAAACGCATGGCTCTTTTTGTAATATCCGTGGCCAAAGCGAATCTTTATGCTACACATTCTTGCTTCAATTGAAGCGGCGGCAAAGTGAAATGCTCTACGGAATAAACGAATTGGCGCAGGTGGTTATTCGGGCTGCTTGGAGGAGGGTGTTTAATTATTTTGTGGTATTTCAATTACATCGGTTTCGAGAAAGTGCGCATGATTTGATGTGTGTCTTTTTTCACGAAAGATTATTGTTATGTGTGTGTTCTTGTGACGAGTGTTCAGAAGTATTGTCTTATTTATGTGCCTAACTATGCGAAAGAAAAGCCAATCAACTTTTATTTTTGTGTTGTAAGGAGTGAAGTCTATTATGATGAAGGTAACACGTACCATACCCTCTTTTTTATTTTCATCTTGGTGGACACTGTTACCAAAACGCTCATTTTGTACTTAAAGAGTGAAAGCGTGTAACTTTGAAATTACGTCTATTTTTGTGACGTATCATATGTAGAAGTGTCTTGCCCCTAAAAATAATTCGATGTATTTTCTTATACGCTTGTTGCAGAAAACAAACCCCCCAATATTTGGGGAAGTATAAGACGTGTTTCTCATCTTGTGTTGTAAAACATGCTCGTGAAAAAATAAATAGGAAATTATTTCAGCTCATTTCAATTCTTTGCTGAGCCTTGTTACAAAAACGTGTACCCGGTTCATTTTTTTCCGAATCGACTACGAAAAAGCATACGGTAAAGCTATATTATCAAGCCAAAATATTCTACCAACATATAATTTCCACCAAAATATGCGGAACCTTTTATATCGGCTTCGAATAGTAACAGTGCCACATAAACCGCGGGTTTATATTTTTTATAAACTATAATTCACCGATTACTGTTTAAACTAATCCTATATTTACAGCTCCAACATCTGTCATTCCGCACTGACCATCAGTGAGGGTTGGGCTTTCAAATTAGAAAGAAAAAATATACTTTGACTGCTGTCCACAAAACTATCTTAAAAAACCACCCTCCTTTCACTATAACCTATATTACCGATCTTTATTCCGAGAAAACAGTTGTTGAACATTTCTTATAGCCGCTCTATTTCCGTTCGTTTTTGAATTTCATTATATTTATAAGTTTAGTAATTCTTAACAAGCTTGAGGCTAAATAAATAAATAAATAAACTGACCTCTTTGAAGTAAGACTTCAAGCAAAAGTCGTGTAGTGGTTACAACTAAGTTTCGAAACTTAGTTGAAACTGCCTGACCAAGGAGCGAAAAACTATATTACTTATAGTAGAAATTTTATTCTTGTACTAATAGACCAATGTCACCAAGCGAACTGCGCAGGCGGGCGCAATCCGGAAGTGGTGCCTCCGCCATGTTACTTGTAGTCATCGTTTTCCGGCTTCCCGGCTACATACTGTGCGTACTTCATCGTAGATTTATGTTTGGGACGTACCGGTATCAGCTTGGATTCTCCTGCATGTGTGTACTTCGTAAGAATATGTTGTTTGTGATGCCTTAGTATGTCAGCAAGCGCAGAAAACCAGTTCCAGTCGTCTTGTTACTTTAGAATCGCTTTGTCGCCTGCTTCGTCGTCGTCTGCTTCATCGTCTTCATGAACGCGTGAACCCACTGCCGTTCACCTGGTGGTGCCACTGAGGCCGTGGGAAAAAGAAACAACAACGACGCCACTACTCGAGCACTTCGGCTGCTCGTACGTCCCAGTTAACTTGGAAAGAACTCAACATCTAATTCAATGGCAAAGAACAAGAAAATTCGAGGGACCCTCGGTTCGGTGTAGCACCGCGGAAAAGGAACGAAGGTGTTGGGGGAAAACTGAGCTTGTATAGTGCTCAATCTTGTGGATAAAGTTCAATCAACAATGAAGTAAGAGGAGCTGAATCGACTCTCTCGGTGAGCGATCGTTTTCTAAATGTTGTTTCATTCTGGTTAACAGCCTGTGCGACAGGGTACAGATGAACCGCGGGGAGATGCCAGCACACAAAGAAGAAACGGTTTACAGAAAGACCATGCCTGACACGTCGTAAATATTGGCATCTGTCAAAAAGAAGCAACCATGCCAGATACTTAAAAAATGCGGGTGTAGATGACTTTTCGTGTAGAGTTTCTATTCAGTTTTATTTGGTTTTCGAAAGCTCCGAATGCCCAACGCCCAAAAGTGGAAGCTTTTTTCTGCGGTCTCGACTGGTGTTAACGCAGAATGGATGAGAAACACTAGCCTAATAGACCACCACAAATGGATGAGGTTTGTTTATTACATTGTTGGCGGTAAGTTTTGCACTTCTAAATTGCCTTATGTAGTGTTTTTACGTTTGTTTGAAAAAGAAAAAAAAAATGAAGACTGCTTCAGAAAAGTTGGTTTATTTCGAATGATGCATACAGGGAATCGTGGCACTTTTGTTAGTGATCGTCTGATCTTTCGAAGTACAATTGTGCTTGAAACATGTCGTCGCAATAGCAGCTATAACCACCAAAACACACCAAGCAAAAAGTGCATTAAAAACGGCCCCCGCAAGCAGTGCGGAGGTCCCATTTGAGATAGACCAACGCAAAGACCGCTAGGGAGCGAGTGCTCAGGGAGATTCCAACGCACGGAGCACTTCGGAACGAACTAGTATGTCTCGTGCCTTGTGATAGTACGTTCTTTAACTAACATGCAATAGGATGGATATGAATTATAAAGCAAATCGCGAAACAAATAAAAAAGAAAGCGCCATTTTTCTTGCCGCTCAGCCCGGCTCCGCTCAACTTTCTTTGCCATGCTGCTCTCTTTCGGGAATACATAATATTGGCGGCCTTTTTGCCTGGTGCTGTTATTGTACAATAACAGCACCAGGCAAAAAGGCCTCGAATATTATGTATTCCCGAAGGAAGGCAGCATGGCTGCGCCACGGTGCTACAGTAGCGTGGCGTATCAGGTGAAGCCACCCATTGGAAACCAGGAGTAAACACTCGGCTAGAAGTCTCGTGCTAACCCGAAAATTTCCAAACGCCGGGCGTACAATGCGCATAGACGCGGCCGGAAAATTGGAGAGAACTACAGGTACCAGAATGGGTACCGCGGCAGCGATGGCGTCGCGCAACTCCGGGTGAGATCGGGCTATTGACAGTTGCTCTGTCCCTAGACAAACACAGTGATGCCACGAGCTTATTTCCTTATTTTGGGCGTGTTGGTTTATTAAGTTTATGTCTACTAATGTACGACAAAATTAAATTTTAAGATGCGAGACAATGACCCATAACAAGGTAGTTGGCGGAAACAAGAAAAAAAAAAAAAGAAAGAAAAGAGTGATAAATATTTGTTCCACTAAAAAAGGAAAGGGTGGGGGGGGGGGGGGGGGGCAGTAGAACTGAGTGGGACATTGACAAGCCAATTACGTCTCTGTAGTTTTTAATTCCCTCCGGTACTATTTTTGGCCACCGTGATAGCATATGCCGAACAAATTTAACGAAGCTACTAAATTAAGTTGTGCTTCTCCGCAATCAAAATACATTTTGATTGAAACTCAAATGTCAGTTATGAAGCCTCTATAGCTTATCTATTTTCTTATCTACGTTCACATAAAGATCACTTCTACTAACCACAGTAGGATTTTCCATTTCCATACTTTTTGTACTTGTTTATTTTTTAAGTCAAATTTCAAACAAAAAAACGGGTCCTTGATTGAAGGCGAAATGGGCGTCCAAAATAAAAATGCATACACAACTCCCACGAGAGGTCCGTGACCTAGCCATCTCTATACGTCATTTAATTTCAAACCAAACTATTTGTTCAGAACTTTTTGTCATTTCTGGAATAAAAAAACGCGTACCGCCTAGTTCAAGTCAAACAAGGATGGAAAGTTTTGGCCAGCAACTCGCCGACGTATTTACACTACAACTGCCAAAAGTCTGACGCGACCCAGCCCCATTGAATTGCTTATTTAATTCTAACTTAGCTGTCTTAGTCCTTTCTCTGTATTTTGTTTTCTTCTTATCGTTGTGTTTCTGAAATTTATCACGCATTTCGTTGTAATATCCTGCCAAAAGCTTTTTTTTGTAGATTGTATGCGACAGATATGCTCGCACATTCTGCGAGCAGTTGATGTGAAAACTGCATTACATTATCCACTGAGATTTGTATATATGTAAGATCTGCTCCAAGGGCAGATTTTCTAAATTTAGCAAAATTAATATTAAGAAAAGAGGCACCCCGAAGGCATATATGGTGGGGTCTAGTTTGAGATCCGAAGAAATAAATAACAAAGTATCTTAATCAGGGGTGTGCGAAGATTGGCAGAAATCAAATAGCGCTGCGTCGTTCATAAACTCAGCAGTGGAAGCGGCAGCCGCAACAATATATTTTCTAAGAAATGTTGGAGCTGGGGACACTGTGCAAATCGATTCGAACCAGAATTCGCATAGTGAAATGAATGCGAAAACATTAGCTGTTCCGTGGAGCGAAGCCGTCGTTATCTGATGTCTGTAGCAGCGAAAAAGGGCACCTAAATACGCATTGGCTGAGCAACAAGGCGCATAAATTCTCATTGGCTGAGCGAAACAACACGTATATTCACACTGGCTGAGCAAAACGGCACGTAAATTCCCATTAACTGCAAAGCGGACGCGCCTCAGAAAAAAATAAAACACAAAGAAAAGCGCAGCCAAGCGGAAACCTCGACAAGGAAGCTGGTGGGGCGCTCAAGGTCAAAGCGGACGCGCTTGATAAATAAAACACAAAGAGGAGGACAGTAACGCAGATTCATCGTCACGGAAGCCGTGGAGCCGACGGGGGTGCCGCGCCTGCGCAGTGGGGAGTGTGACGTCCACGCCGGGAGTACCGCGTGAAAAAGGAAGACGTGGCACGCTGCCTGTAGGAATGCGCTGCGTGTAGGAATGCTTTCGCATTCCTACATGGAATCAGTCTTAAAATTCTCGTGAGACCATGGCGTATTACCGTAACGTCATGGTGTCACGTGAGGTCACAGTGTCACGTGGTGTCACGGTCTCATATATGACGTCATGACTAGAGGCGAGAATCTCGGGACAAACTATTACTAAACTCGGGATAAAACATGGGACAGCGTGGGTTTGTGTGAGTACACTCAAAGTGCTTTTATTCAAGTTAAAATATTTAGTCCGCCTCTTTTATGGCCAAACTACCCGTCCTATTTCTTTGCGCTGAAGGAAAAGGTCAGGTATATCTCAAGTGAGTCTTTGCTTAGGCTTTGTCTTCGCTCCATAAACGGATCCTTCAAGTCGGAGAACGATCGCTTGACTTCTACGTAGACGATGGGCAAACAACCGAGTGTTCGTTTTGCATCCAAGTCATAAACACCATTTGGAGTCCTTGGTGAACGTACCCCCTCAGCGTTAGGGTTCTTCATACGGCGACTCGCGAAGTTTGTGTTTGGCCGGACCGTCCAAATTGTCTTCCGCATAATCCAAGATTTAAAACTGATTCTCTAGAGCAAGCCCCGTCGGTTCCAGTCTTGCGAGCTTGTAGGGAATAAATCCAAACTTCTCGACCTTGTACAGTCCACCCCGCACTATTTGAAATAGCGAAGGCCTGCGAACATTCTTCTCTTGCCGCCGACTCAGCGATTCGACCCGATCCCGAGGCCGAGTGCCCTTCGGCGCGTTGACTGGACACG